TAGAATCATCTGACTTACGATGCTCTAGAATGGATGTTCGCGCTAAGAAAGGCCTGTCAACAGTCCATCACCTTGTTGTTTGCACGCTACACTGTGAGAGATGATGCGGCGGTGCGGCGATCTGGTAGCAAAATAAAATGGGAAACATTATCTTCCGTAGATATAAGAGCAAACCTTGCGAAACGGTTTAAACATATCTTGATGATGACCGCTGGTGTGGAAACCGAGTGGGAGCTCTTTAAGAGTGGCTTGCTCAAGCTGCCGCCGAATGCTGCGGTTTAAACGGGTTCTGCCTGCCGCCTGAAGGTCAGAAATGAACTTTTTGTTGGACACCACAGGTTTATCTGGTTGTCAATGAGAAGAAGGCTGTATTGAAGAGGTGGCCTGGAAGCGAAAAGTCTTCAACTCGAATGCAGTACGAAGAAGCGCGCAAGGCTACAGCAGATGCAGTGGCCAAGGCGAAAGTCGATTCCTGATAAAACTTCGATAATGTAGTTGAGTCGAATTTTCAGCCGGCCAACAGGGCATTCTGGCTGACCTTCTGTCTCCTCCGAGATGGAAAGAAAAGCAGTCTGGATGTTCTGAAGGGCAAGTCCGGTGGCCTTCTTACCAAGGAAGAGAACACGTTTAGAGTGCGTGGCGAGAGTACTTTGAGGAACTCCTTACCCTCAAGCAACAGCAGAAAAACTCTCATTAAAAACAGTAGACAAAGAATATTAGTCTTTCGATAGATGAAGTCGCAGAAGTGCAGAAAGTATGAGAAATGAGAAAACTGCTGGAATCCATGAAATCCGTCCTGAGATATTTAAAGCTTTAGGCGAACAACGTATTTTTGGGCTCAGACGTGGAACCATTACTATAGCGAAGACAGCGGTAAACTGAAAAATGGGGGAATGTATTACTTCTGATCAAGAAATGAGATAATAAGGGAGTACTCCCTTATCGATGTATCGGTGTCTTACTTTACTGAGCCTCCAGGGAAAAGTTTACGTAACTGTGTTGAAAAGGAGTGTCACGGAATGGCCGACTGTAAGATCCAGCAAGAACAGTGTGGCTTTCGTTCAGACTGAAGCATCTCGGCCATATTTTAGCTCTTCGTCTGATTGTTGAAAAATCGTTGAGTTGGTTCATCTAGTTTACTGCGCTTTGTAGACTTGGTTAGCAGATAACTTCAGCGGCGTTGTCTATGCCATTGCCTAAATCGTGAGGCAAAGTAGTAATTGAGGCAGAAATAGCTGTCGACACTGGGCAGGCAGAGGTCGATGTGGAGCAAGGTTGGTGTTTCTGAACATGGTCATCGTGTAATTACGCTATTAGCTGTTCCGTCACAATCGCCTGTTTAAAAATATACAATGTCTGCGTTCTGGGGAGTGCCTCTTTTTTTCATTTTGTTTTTTCTTAGTTTAATCATTTCCGTTGTCCCTTAACTCATTAAGTGAACAGTACTTATTTTCCCTCGGTTTTTCCGTTGTATTTGTGCTGCATTACGTTAAAGCATAAACGTTTTACCCATGTCTTGCTATACTTTACAAACGAAAGCCAAAATGCTTAGGCGGCAAATGAACTTCGATATTTCAGGTTCTTATAGCAATAGTGTTGGCGTCGAAATAATCCGGCATGATGTTGCTGAATACATACGCAAACGAGATGGTGGAATCCCGTCTATTACGGATAATATAATCCTCTCCGGCGGAGCGTCAGAAGCTATTCGGGTAGGAGAAGCGCATCTGACTGTAGGCATATATAGTGTTCTCACTTGACTGTTTCAGTCTTCAATGAAGCTGTTCAACAGCAAGGTAGATGGGAAACCGCCTGGTGTCATGATCCCTATTCCACAATATCCATTGTATTCAGCAACAATTGCTGAGTACGGCATGTATCAGGTACTTTCCTATGCTTTATTTAGATCGCGGTATTTACCACACGTTCCTTTTGCTAGATTGGTTATTGTCTGGACGAGGATAACAACTGGGCGCTCGACATTTCTGTGCTCAAACGCGCCCTCGAAGAGTCTCGTGCCCACTGCTGTCCGCGCCTGCTTTGTGTCATTAATCCGGGGAATCCTACCGGTAATGCATCTATTCTTTGCAGTTGTGAACTTTTGGCTGATATGTCATGTAGCCAATTCTTTCGTGAAACCTTATTTCCCTTTATTCTTATAGTCTTATTGTGTTGGACTGCCTTTTGTCCTAATCTTATTTATCGAACCGCATCATATATTTTTTAGTGACGTGAAGGTGGCATCGATTTAATGCCATGCACCGTCATGATGCCTGTTTATTACACAGATACATAACTCTTAGAATATCTGTGCATGTATATAGTTATCTATGCTCGAGATTGCATCAGTTCAATTTTACGGTCTCAGACATTTCTGTCATGTCCCCTTAAGTGCAATCCACTATGCTGGGACTGGTGTGTGTTATCTCTGCCGTACTACCGTATCTGCTTCTACCGTACCGTGAAGTTAAGGAATAATTGCGACTCTCATTTGAGTCCCCATTCGAAAATGGTAGTGCTTGAACAATGTTCGATAATCCGGTTGGTGATTAGGTTTCAAAGTTGAAAGCAGGGAAATCTTCATTATTATTTATAACTGTATGAATTCACTATTTGATGATGGCCGTTTTAGACTTGCCTTTCGGCCCAGAATTAACGTGAAGCTTCTGGTTAATTGAACAGCTTGACCGTACCACTGAGTTTTGTTTCTGGATATTATCTGCCTATTAAATTCAGTCAAACAGTTACTTTAGTGTTTTTGCCATCCACAACCCAGTCTACTCCCACTTCATTACCACGGCAGTTTTTTAGTTTTTGAAATCATATCAAGGATTCCGATTTGTGCTGTTATGGCCTCTTTCTTCGCCCGTTAAACGTTTAAACCGTATTACTATCATTTGTAATAGTTCAGAAAATGTATCTTAACCGCCTTTTCGCTATGTTAAAGGATAAACTCGGAAGCCATAGTGTACTTACGAGTTTGAAGAAAAGCACATGATAATGGGAAGCAGAATTTGAAGATTTCTTGAAGCGAACATGAACTTAACAGCAATTCATTTAATCATTTGTGGATTCTATGTGGATACTGAGTTGTTATTAGTAGATTATATTATAAGATGTATTCCTGCACTGCAGGCGCAGTGATGTCGCGATCTGCTTAGGTTGACCCTTAGGCAAGTAGGAGCAAGGGGTCTCTATACTGTGCTCTAAATATCT